TTAAGGTAGTTGTAGAAGCAAAATAAGTAATGTGTTCTTTTAAGATTTGCTTTTCCTGTAACTCCTTGTTTAAGGTGAGGATTATCTGACTCTAACCAGTAACTTCATTAACCTAACAAAGTTACCCTGCCAGGGTGAATTTACAATGTATAGGGCCTATCTTGTGTCTGTGACTTGTAAATAGAAACTGGAATTGTATTTACATATCAAAGACCATTAGGGATGAGATAATAGCTAAAAAGGATATAAAAAGGGAAATGCTGAACAAAGGGGGTGCGGATATTGACCAGACTGGTTTCTGGTGTTCCGTCCACTCACAAGAAGAAATTTTATTATTTTATCCGAATTCTGTGTCTCTGTGTATTTCTTTCTGAGGTTTCCATAACAGTATAAGACATGGCTCCAAAAGATCATCCTGAGAAATATGAAGCCAACTCCCCACAATGTGGTGGACAGAAGAGAGAAGGAGTAAAAGTCTTCTGCAAACCTGCTGTTAATAGGGAAAATGACCCACAGAGAGTGAGCAGAGTAGGGCCTGTGACTGAAAATGAGGAACAGCACTTTCTAGCCATCAACCTAATACTCTAGGGTAGAGAGCGGAATAGGGTCTAAGACCAAGAGGAAGTAGGGCCCCTGAGCATCCCCCTCTTCCCCTCCTGGACATACACCGAACAAAGCGAAGAGCTCCCGGGGTGACCTGGTTTCACAGGATGCCATCCACAGCCCTCCCAGAAAACTTTAATACTCCTTCCAGTGGCCTCTTTCCTACCCAAAAATTCACAAGCCGGCTGGCTGTTAAGGGTCACTACCATGTTGACTTCCTGATATGGCATTGTACATACTTTCCCACTTCATCTGCCCAATCTTTGGACTCTAACAGGGACCCAGGGATACCCACTTGCCCTGAGTCATGTCCTCATTGCCAGCAGAGCTACAGCTAAACCAGGTGCCTTCTCCCCTCCTTCAAAGCCCTTTCCAAGCCCTGCCATGGGCATCATCTGGCCCACAGCCAAGGATAACCCACATGAGTGTGAACTTCAACTGCTGTTGCAATGCTACAGAAGAGCAGAGGAGTATGTATCTGGACAAGGTTTTCCCTCTCCTGTTCTTGGCCCAGTGCTCTGTACAGATGGTGAGGAACAGATTCAGATGCCCCCTTACAGACTGTGAGGAGCAGACATGACAAATGAGAGCTCAGATGATTAAGACAGCCCCAGGGAACTGTCACCTCAGAGAGTCACCAACTGTCACCTTGATTTCCTCATTTGCAGGAGGATAGTTCTTCCATCTTCCAGGACCACATTAGGTGTCTTCCTCTACAGTGACTCAGGGTCAGTAAAAGTGAGTCAGCTTTAAAAGTTACCCTTTTAGGAAGACGAATATTATGTGGCTATTTTCTCCATCAAATCGAAAATGGTCTCTGGGTTTATAGGTTGAGTAAATAAGCAGGAGAAAATAAGGAACAAGCTTCAGACATTTTTGTCCCAAGATCTTTAAACATGCTTGGGGTCTAACTATCCCAAAGAAATAGGAAGACCAGTGCAGGCATGACCACAATGTGAAAAGTATTCATGCTGAAATTATGGCCATAAAATATTTTATTCATCCCATTCCTATCCTGTTTTAATAAATGTATTTTAGATATCAAGAGTAAAGACTGGCAGTAAAATAAAGGCTCCCCAGGACCTGGAATCAAAACATCTGGAAAAAAACTACTTAGTGAAGAAAAAAGAAGTAGATCTCCAGGAATTAAGGATGCCAACAGGAAAACTAGAAACCACAGAGAAACTGAACACAATGTAGAGAAAAAAAAAAAAAAAACAATCTGGACCACTAATCCCGGCTCCTGGGAAGGGGGACCTGAATCCACTAACACAAAGTAAGCCCAGTTGCAGTGGGGAACAAAGGGCTGGACGCACAGCACAAGCCTCAAGAAAAGCCCACAGTTATTGTAAGCTGCAAGCCAGCATGGGGTTTTACTCTAAAGTAAATCCTTCCACATGGCAGGCTAGAGTTGGGGAAGAAATCCATTACAGTGCCTGCTATATTTGAGATGGTTTAATCAGGAACCATTTTTGGAAGGGATTAATTGTTTAAGAGTGACAGAACCACTACACTTCAGGGTTTCTGGGGTCACCCTACCACAGTAACTGAGTGAGAGACAGTCACAAGAGACAGCTGCAGAGAGGACATGGGCTACATATAGAACCTCAGGCCAGGAAGAACCCAAAGGTCCTGCTCTCTGCAGTGAGAAGCCAGGCCACTCTTCTGTAGTTTTTGGAAGGAGCTGGGTCTGAAAGTGTTGGCATTAAATCCAGCAAACTGCTTGACCCCGCCCCTATAACCACTGCCTACATCCAGCACAAAACTAGTGGTCTATCAGCTTTCCCCATTAGCCAACAAGATCAGAGATACACCTCAGCTTGGACAGTTACCACAGCCTGGGGTGTACAGAGGGGATTCTGGAATAAGGGAGTACCTCACAAGCCCACAAACTGTAAAGCTAGGCAGAGAAAGCAGTAATTTAAGATGCACAGAGAGACACAGGAACTGGAGAGAATATAACCCTAGGGTAAACACAATTGACCAACCACATGCAGTAGGAAAAGCAGGGCAGGACTCAGCATTCACACACAAAAATGGGAGTGTGGAAACAAAATAGGACTTAATAGTGACTCACTATTCCTCCTTCATATCTAGTGGATTCCAATACTAAAGATCCAGGAAAAAAAATCACTCATTAAAAAAGAGAGGAGGGGGCCCAGGATTTAGCTCAGTGGTTCCAGCGCCTGCCTCATAGGCGCAAGGTCCCGAGTTCAACCCCTGGTACCAAAAAAAACCAAAATGAAGTCCATAAAAATTAAATAAATTGCTACCATTACACATTTCGAGGCGGGGGATTTAGCTCAGTGGTTTCACTGCCTGCTGCGCAAGCGCAAGGACCCGAGTTCGATCCCCAGTACCAAAAAAAAAAAAGAGAGAGAAGAGGGCCGGGGATTTAGCTCAATGGCACTGTGCCTGCAAGGTTCTGAGTTCAATCCCCAGTACCAAAACAAAAGGCGGGGGGAGAAATTTTTTGGACTTATTTATTTTTTCTTCATTAAGTTTTGGAGACTCGGGGATATTATCTGTGTGGGGTTTTTTTCTTTTGTTCTCTGTGGGTTTTTTCCTTCTACTTTTATTCTTTTCTGTTACTTTTATCTAATTCTATTTTCTTTTATTCCTTAGTAGGATCCTTTATCTCACTTTTCTCTCCTCATCCTGTGTATTTTTTAAATTTTACTTCATTCACTTCCCCTTCCCCACTTTCTCCATCTGCATTAGATTACTAGTAAGCATCATTAATCTTTAGATAGTTAGTTGACTCTAGATTCTGACTTCTGGGAAGATGGTAGAGTGGTGAACAGCAGACAAACAGCCTGAGATTTGGTGTCCAGAAGCTGGAATATAGCAATGTGAGGAAGAGAAGGAGGGAAGTGGGTCCCCAGGACCCAGTAAGGATCTGAAGTGAAAAATGAAGCCCACAGGAAGAGCAAGAAGAGAAACTTCAACAAAGAAGAGGTAGCAAGCAGCACTTTCTCCCTGAACCCTGACTCAGTCACTGTGTGGGGAGACTAGAGCCTGCAGACACACGGTGACTACTGGCAACTCCAGAGGCCTCCACAGAGAAACGCACCAGTGGAACAGAGCAGTGGACATAGTGGACTGCAATGGCTAGTGAGTTATTCGGGTTCAGACATCCCCCAGGAGAGGGTGATTAGTCAGTAGCCATCTTGGAGAGGGGCTAGCTGAGCTCGGAACACAAAGCAGCTGCAGGCTAGCTTCATCAGGTTGAGGTGGAACTGAGTTCAAGTCAGTAGGAGATCAAGGAGCCAAGTTCAACCCACCAGGGAGCCAAGTTCAAGACAGCAGGAGGCACATAGAGTGTCCCAGGCTGAACAAATTGAGTTTCAGCCTCATAGCCAGAAACCAGCCTGACCTTCAGAACTAAAGGTGTAGGCTTGCTGGGATTATCCTCTACCCTACATAAATCTATGGCTGGCTTGTTGGGAGTAATGAACATGGATCTGAGCTTGGTGTGTCCAATTTGTCTACCAGTGACAGCAGAGACACGTCTTAAATGAACATTATTTTTTCTTTTTCCTTTTTTTGTTTTTGTTGCCTTTTCTTTTTGCTCAATTGTTTGTCCTTATTTTTATATAAGTGTGAACATTGTTTCTAGTTTTTTTGTTGTTGTTCTGTTCTGTTCTTGTCTTTATTTCTTCCTTCTGTCTTTCTTGTCTTCACCAATTTCCCAGAGATTGCATAATATTCCTTTGTCCTCCAGCCCTGTTTCTAATCTCTTCCATTTCTTCTGTTAGTTGAATTTATGTTATTATTATTGAATTATTTTAAAGTTTAAAGTGATATAATTGTTATACTTAGTAGATATTTAATGCATGTCAACATTTGGTTTATCTTTGTATCTATATTATTATTGTAGATCTCTTTTCTATTGCTAAGGGTGGTACACTGGTAGCTTTTATTGGTTCAGCATCTATTTTGTCTTTGACTCTATTGTTGCTGATTTCAGTTATTGCCAGCATGGCATAACTATTGCTATTAACAGGCTTTTACTGTATGCCAATATCTGGTTTGCCTGTGGGCCAAAACAATACTGCAGTTCATTTTTAGAAAATCAGGTGCTGGGCCAATTGTACCCTCCCCTCTCCACATTAATGAAGGTGGTCAATCTTGGGACAGAGGCAAGAGCCTATAGTTAGCCATACCCAGAGTACATCACTGGAAAGCAGACACTATCTTAAGAGATCTCCATATTAGCAACAAATTATTGCCACTGTAATTGACCCTGAACCCTCAGCATGCATGCATGTCACACAAAAACACACACACACCCCATGAAAAACCAAGGCAACAAAATCCCTCCAAAAACTCCCAATGCCCCCAAGGCTGATCCATGGGGTATCAAGGGGGAGGAAATCAAAAAACAAACAGCTGAATTATATAAAGTGATAAAAGAGGAGACAAGAAAACAGATTAATAAGGTACTCAATGAGTTCAAAGATGCTACAAGTAAACAGATAATGAACTTAATAAAATGATCAGTGAGCTCACAGAAGACACACAGAAAAAGCTAGATGAGGGCCAGGGATTTAGCTCAGTGATGCCACTGCCTGCCTTGCAAGCCCAAGGTCCTGAGTTCAATCCCCGGTACCCCCCCACAAAAGCTAGATGAGCTAAACAAAATAATACAAAACATGAATGACCAGTCTAGCAAAGAATTAGAGCCCATGAAAAGGTAACAAACAGAAATCTAGGAGAGTAAAAATTTTATTGAAAAGTATAGGCAGCCAAAATGATTAATGTGAGAACAGTGTCAGAACTAAATGACAGGGCTGATGCAGGAGACCATATACTCAGAGATACCTTAAAAACAAAAGATCATGGAAAATGAATCCAACAGCTGCTAGATGGCACAAAGAAGACTAATCTAATATTAATTGGATTAGTGAAAAATCAGAAGACAACACAAATGGCATTAAAATACCTGTTCACAGTAATAACAGCAGAAAACTTTCCTACCATAGGGAAAGAATTTAACATACAGATAAATGAGACATATAGAATCTCAAACAGCCACAATCAGAAAAGAACTTCTCCACAACACATCATAGTCAAAATCCCTGAAGTCCACTTGAGAAAACAATCCAAAAATTCATTTGGAACAAGAAGAGACCCAGAATA